TCGTAACGATCCGGTCTCTAGTAATTTTGTTCCAAAATAAAAATTACCCGTATTCTCTCTTAATTTCATTTGGCAAACATTTTTCTTTATCAGTAGAATGAGTAAATTTTATTTTCCTTTGATTCAGCTCTATCGAAAAAATTAATTCTAAACGTATTCGACTCTCAACAAAACGGCAATAATTTTCAGCCTCTTTAAGATCATTTTTACTTACAAAACACAAAATCAACAAAAAATGATTATACTGAAATTTATTTAATAATTCTTTTAATATTACTTAATTATTAAAAACCTTTTTCAAGAATTTATTACCATCCAACCAATTTTTCCAAAAATTATTAAATTCCTCATATCCCCCGTTCATATTTTTAGCATTCATAATCATATTATTTGCTAAAAAATAAAATTTTATGAAATTATTTAGATGGTCGAAAGTTTAGAGAAAATCTGCGATATTCTAAGAGAATATTCACTATACGGTAATTTGTATAGATGTCATAAAGTCACGTAAGACAGACTTTAAACACATTATGTCTGTCTAAAACTTTTTTCAATTAGAAGAAAATTTCGTTTCATACCTCGGGTTAAGTTACTTAGAGATTTTCCAGTAAGGTATCCCAGGAAGATATTCAAAGATTCCCCTATAATTTCATCTTATTTTCTTCCAATTTTGAAAATAAGGGACGCCCATCCATGTCGTACACACCAGGGAACGAGGGATCCCGTCCAAAAAATCGTCGGGAATTCCCGATTTTCGGGAATCTGGACGGCTCGTTACAATCTAATGGTATAATCAAGTTATCCAAATTATCGATGTAATAGATACAAAAAATAAATCATTTAATACCTTCATTAAACTCTTTTTGAATAATTTGTTTGGTCGAATAATTTATATTAAAAGCACAATTTTGTTCAGGGTATCCAGGCATTAACACTACCATTAACAGATTGAAATGCCTTTGTAAATAAATCTTTTCTTCCTCGGATCTAGCAACATACTTCAAGAGAAAATCGTTTTTAGCCTTAATTTCTTCTTCAACTGACCAACTAAGTGAATTTTGGGTTAATTCGTCAAGTTTAACATGATAATCCCAATCCCTAAAATTATAAAAATACTTTGATCTATAATTTAATTTAAAAACCATTCACTGTATGTTTGAAAAAATTTTTCTAATAGATAAATTATGGTGGAATCAAAATAAAGCAATACAAGTTTAATAACAAGCACGTTCAAAGTCGCTCCATTTAAAAAACCAAATTGGCCATTATATATGAAATGATCTAAATATTTAGAACAAATTTAAAATATTTGTAAATGTACTGATAAATCTGATTTTTACCAAAATGCAAAGGACCTAAATTACTGCGGACAATTTATGTGGACTCTTGTTGAAATCTTGTAATAATTAGTTTCTACTAGAGCCGAGACAAAGTCTCCAACTAAAATCTCGATTGCATGATCGATATTTTTCGAGATAATGATTTGAATTTTAGTAAATATTACCCTCACTATGTCTTTAGTTTATAATGACCCGCTCCCGATACAGATCCGACTTGAGATTGGCCGAAATCGGTATCGGGATATAAAAAACCTTGATAATCCCGAGGGTTGAAATCTATAATATATTTGAGGTTCGCTTAAGTCTCTTTTTAAAATTACTTTCATCACCCCTTATCTGCTAATGGGTGTTCAATATAAGTTATATAACTTTAATAATAAATTCCGAAAATTATTATTAAAATTAAATTTTACTTTTCGCCCAACTCTTCAATGTTTTTGTGATAAATTGGAATTTATTCATATTATCATTTACATTAATCATTTGTTGCATTATTTTATTAGAATTATACGAAGCTAAAGAATAAATTTGGCTTTTTATTTCCTTAATTTTTTCTCTATTTTCTGGCAATCCTTTGTTTAAACTTAATATTTCTAATTTTTGGGCAAATCCTTCAATTATTTCTTCAACTTGATTTTTATTTAAATTAATTATTTGACCTAAATTTTGTTCTGTTTTTTGTTCAATTATTACAATTGAAATGTCAAATTGAGTTTTATTTAAAGAAAATTCTATTATTCTGTTTCGTGCGTGAATATTTTTGCGAAGGTTGTGAACTTTATAGTTCTAAATTAAGTTTATAATGTTAAAGAAAAAAATGTTTAAAATGGGGTTTAAATTCGGATTTCAATCTAGTTTCAATTGAAGAGAGATTAAAAATTATTTAGTGATTTACAAGGGATGCATGAATTTCTCGGCGTAAAAAATCCGTATCACATAAATATTTTTATAATCTAATAGTCCTATTAAATAGTACTAAATATGTCCAGGTAAAACCCTCTATCTTGGCTAGAACTATTCTGCTATTTGGCTCATTTTGGAGATGATTCCAAATTTAAAAAGGAGACGTCTGCGAAGATTTATAAAAAATATTTCTGGAATTAAGGGATGTAAAACTTTTCACAAATTAAAAAATTAAATAGAAGCTTAAGAAATATTACTTTGCATAAATAGCAATATAATGAATTATCATTGCATTCTATATTTCCATGAGAATATTTACACAAATCATTATGTTGATTTCCATAAAATTGAGTTAATTTATTAATTCCACATCCATCCTTTTCCCCTTTGCTTAAAACAACAATCGCATCAACATCAGAGTCAGAAATATCTGTTTTTAACAATTGTGAACCGGTCAACAAAAATTCAATATAATAACATTTAGATAAGCTAGCCCATCTTTTAATTGTTGAAACAACATAATTAATATCAGCATAAATATTGTTATTAGTAACAATAGATGAAGAATTTATTTGGTTAATAAGCTTTAAAAATAGAAATTAAAAAATTTTTATAGAGAAAATAAGCTTTCGAAATTGCCCAATCCTAAAAATAGTGTAGACACATTTTTGGATATGAAATAGTAGTATGGATGAGCATGGATAAGAATAAACAAGAGAGCTCCAGTATTAAGTCCCATCCAATCTTTTACTATTTTCTGGGTTTGCAAAAAATTTGTTAAGATTCTTGGAAAAAAATTCTTTGAATCAAAGTTGTTAAACTACGGATAGTTTATAAACCAGTAGTCTCGCACATAAATTTTTATGATACGGGTAGTCTAGCGAGTCTGATTTTTAATAATTTATTAGCTTACAGCATTTAGTGAATCTCTCTTTTGAACATAAAAATAAGGTAATTCTTCAAATATTGGCAATTCCTTTATATTATTTATTAGCTTATTTGATTCTAAAATATTATTATTATACATATTTTTATATTATTTATTTACACACCTATCAGTTTAAGCTGCATTTCTTTTATTTTATATTGTTGGATAAATGTTGATTCAACAAAATTTTTTGAAAGCAATGAAAATAAAATCCTTTTTTGTTGTTTTTGTTTCATTTGATCCCATCGACTTTTTGTAATTATTAAAGCAAGCCTTTACATTAAAAAAATTTTTTCACATATTTTTGTTTAACAAAAATTATTAGAGGTGAACCCCGTTCCCCATTCCTCTTGCTCCGTAACATGACCATATTTTGCTTACCACAACCCTGCCCAGAACCATTTCTAAACATCATACCCCGACAATCCTGCCCCCGAGTTTTTGGGGCACATCTTTAAAAATTATTGTGCATTACTGTATATGACCGAATGATTTCATTCTCTCATACAATAATCCCCAAACTCCACATTAATCCCTCTATCAGTGAAAAGCTGAGTCTCAATCCCCGAATAATTAACCATTCTTGATTAATTACCACAAGTTGGAAACAATACATATTAACAAGAGTACTTATTTGCGAATACTTATTTTAGATTATCTCTGTATTTAAAGCACAACTGATACATGTGTATGAAGAATCATTGTCCGATTATTTTAAACAAAATTATTAATCAACCTTTTCTTGTGTAATTTGCTTTTAACTACATCAATTTCAATATTATAATCAATTTTTATTTTATTTTTTATATTTTTCAAATCACAACCATCCATTAATAAAAACAATTCCTTCAATAATAAATGCAATTTATTCTTTAAAACCCCAAATTTTTCAAAATCATCGATAATATTATTGTTTTCACCCATCAATTTAATAAAATGTTGTTCTAATGTATATTCATTTTGACATTTTTGAATATTTCGTTTATTAATTTTCGCTGAAATTTTTTAGATTATTATTAGGGCGTGTCAAAACATGCAAATGCATATTTTGCTTGCGGATATGCCATGAGCTGAAACGCTCAAGAATGGTGTTTTTACTTTGGTACGAACATTAGGGACCGGGTTCCTATAGTATATTTTTGCATATTTCGGTACTTTCGCGCATATTTGCATATCGATGCATATTTTAGGAAATTTTACATATTTTTACCTAAATTTGTGCATATTTTGGCATTTTTTGAGAAATTTTAGTAAAAATCGGGCAAAATTTTTCAAAATTTTGGAATTTTTTGAGCAAAAAATTTTTTGTTAAAAATTTGTTCAAAAATTTTTTTCGAAAAATTTTTCGGGAACAATTTTTTCAAAAAAATTATTTTGGTTGAATTTTAAGCTAATAAATCTTTTAGAAGTGTTCTTAAACTGCAATTTTAGAAGTTAATTTAGTGTTTTTTAATTAAAATATTGAATTTTAATGCACATTTTCACTATTTTTGGCTGCATATTTAGTGCATATTTCGGCAAATTTAGCATATTTTGGTGCATATTTTGGGCTTATTCGGTGCATATATATGCGCATCTTTTGGGACTTTCCGTGCATATTTTGCCACTCCCTAATTATTATTATTCAGCAAAGGAAATTTTTTATGATCGCAACCTTAGGTGCTCGTGAATAACCAAAAATTTGTCCTAGTGACCAAACAAATGTGACAATTTTTTGGCTTTAAGTTTTAGGCTTGTTAACAGACTCTTTCTATTCAGTATAGACTTTTAGTGTCTTTCATAAGTGCATAAGTCATTATCTCTTTGTTAAGCTGGCCATTATTTCATTCTTAAATTTTTCGAGAAAAGACGGAAAGGGCAAAGGAATATGGAGTCAGATAACAGTGAAATACCTTACCTTCTAAACTCCCGAATGAAATTCCTGTTGAATTTGCATTTTCACAATCTAATTCAGTATCAATCTTATTTTGTTTGAACTTCTTAATATACTCAAAACGTTGTTTAATTTCATCGATAACCACTCCAATTTCCAAAGCTGGAATTATTTTCTTTGGATCGCCTCTACCTGAAATAAATTTTTCATAGGCTTCAATTAATATTTTTTCTTCTAAAAATATTCTTGGATGAAAAGGTGTAAATTTTGAGAGTGATTTGAAGTTTTTGTGATTTCCTTTTGAAATTCCTTTATTAATGGGCACAAGCTTGTTATCTTCTTTTTCCCCATTTTTCAAAATATTTTCTTCGTTTATATAAATTATATCATGTTTCTCATCTTCATTATTCAGATTTTTAAATAATTTCTTGTCATTCGCACTCAGTAAATCCTTGTTAGCTTCATTTAATTCTTCATTATTTTCCGAATCTTCAATCTTTTCATCTTCTAATTCTTCTTCCAAATCTTCATTCTTTTCTTCCTCCAGATTTTCGTTTCCTTCCTCTTTCAACTTTTCATTTTTTTCTTCTTCCAATTCAACTTCGAAATCTTCAATTTTTTTATTATCGGAAAAATTTTTAATTTTATTATCCTTATTGTTTAAATAATTTTTTAAATCCATCTTCTTACTATTATTCAAAGCTAGTAATGATTTAATATCTTCATCCTCTTTTATTTTTAATTTCCTCAATCTTTCTTCATCTCTAATTTTCTTCTTCTCTTCATTTCTCCTTTTCAGTTCATCTTTTTTATTCATTTTCCAATCAGTATCTTCTTCCATCTCATTCACTTCATTTTCCTCGTCCAACTCAATATTATCCTCCACTATTATTTCTTCATTTAAATCCAAATCTTCATCCTTTATCTCAACATCGCTTTCTATGTTTTGCTTATCTTCCTCAATATTATTTTTATTTGTTTTCTTAGCTTTCTTATTTCGCCTTTTTCTTTGTTTCTTGGAAAGCACATTATTTTTAATATTATCATTCGTTGTTTTATCTTTTTTATCTACATTTTCAGTAGAATTTATTTTATTCGCAATATCTTCTACATAAGTCATCAACTCTGTAAAATTACAAAACTTTTTAGACTATGTCTAAGTTAGATTTTTCAGAAAATCACAATACTAAATTTTTGTGTATTCTTTTTGCTCATTTTTCAAGATTTTTTTATGAATCAAGCCTTAATTTATTAACCCGTATTTTTCCTAAATAAAACCATTATAAATTCGAAAAGAAGGATCTAGAAAATTCCATAAAAAATTAAGAGAATATTTGGAGATATCGAGGGATTATTGAAGCTTAAATGTGATTAGATAAGTTGGAAGTGGGGTATTAACGGAATTCGATGGATATGTAAAACCAAGATTTTCAATTACCTAAACTAAACCTAAACGTATTTTATTTATCACTATCCACTAGAACAACAATATTTTAATTAACAATAATCTTTTTCAAAAATTATATAATTTGCTAGGAATAATATTTTAAATATTAAATTTTCACCTTTCGTGCTCTTCTTTTCCATGCCAATATTTATTTGTGGACTTTTATTTTCATCATTCTGAAATTCTGTTATAATTATGTAAATAGTAAATTTATTCATTGATTCAACTCCAAATACATTGATAAATTTTTTCAATATATCTTTGTCTCTAGCTTGGAAATCTTTAAAAATTAAAAAATTTTTAATTAAAAATCCACTAAATATCCTTAATTATTCTAATAGAATATAGCTATTTTATCATATCGCTTTTCTGGATTTTATCTAAATATCCGGTTCTTAGTTCCATCAATCCCTGTTATTATCTTGATACTCTATATCAAATGTTATAGACAAAAAATCTCTTGATACAATTAGGTTAGATGACATGATAATTGCGTATAATTACATATACTATTTGCGTATATCCTAGAAGAATTTAACACGCATAGCTTGGGGCTTAATGTTAGGACATCTCGATAGGTGTATTCGAGGCTAGGCTAGCACTGTCAGCTGTATCGATGTTCGAATCCTGCCTAGTCTAACGTGTCATTCTATTACAATAATTTAAAAAATACCTTTAATAAATCTTGTGCTGAAATTACTGTCCAAGCTACCGTCTTTGAACAATTTTATGAATAATTTAAATTTTTCTTCTTTCAAAGATTTTATAACTTCGCTAAGTTCTATTTTGAAATTTTTTGTTAAAAACAAATCTATTATTTCTTCCCAATCGTGCTATAAATTATATTAAATATTATGATGTAAGTTTATTTTAGATAATCAAATAAAGCCCAACGTTATTTATTTAGAGGTGTTAAGGATATACATACTCTCTGTATTGACTTGCGAAGCCAAATCTAAATGCCTCACCACTCGGCGCGATCCCTGGTATATACCAGGGATCGCGTCAATCCGATTCCTGAAAATAGGGGATTCGCGAGTTTTTTGGTTGGGATCCCAATTTCCCAAGGTCGGGAATTTAGTTGTATGTCGGCACGTTCTCTGCTATATAGGGACTACACTAAAGCAGGCTTCATTAACTTATACCAGGCATCGAACCTGAGCTGATTTTCAAGTTATGTGAAAGTTGTTTGTGTGATCTTGGTTCTATTAATTACTTTATTTCATCTAAAATATTCGTTATTTTTTCCATTTATCCTTTGGATTAAGATAATTTTAAATTAAAATTATTACGATATTAACTAGCCCCCCCCCCTCTCTCAACTGATAGTGACCTTTAAATCCATCATAAATGAACTTTTTTTTGAATTTTTATATTTTTTACACTCTTTTTGGCTTTTTTTTCTTCAACTGTTTGAATCATGAAGAAATAGAAGGCAGGAAATCTCGATTGAAGTATATTTAGTGAATCCAAATCATTGTTTTTATCAAATAAAAGACAATAAGGCACGTCAATTTGCTCTTGTTCTAGATTCCAAGTATCTAAAGTCCAAAGCCTCATTTTTCTTGTGGTAACATTTGTACTCCATTGTTCAATAGATTGTATACTTTCTTCCATAAATTGATGCCAACGAATATAACCAATGGCTAAATGATTCCGTATGTAATCTTCTTCGATGGACCCATAGAATGTTTTATAAAAGTGTTGAGCCGAATATTTATAATCATCATACACTAAAATTTTTAGACAATAGATTTAATTTTCAGATTTATACTCTTTTGAGTTAAGAAAAGAAATATAACTCTCTAAGGAAGATAACTCTCTTAAAAACCCTTCTCTCAAATAATTATCACTCCTCGAATAATTAGTCATCTATCATTGAAACAATAATTCACTTCCCCAGGCCCTACTGCATGTTCAAAGGCCCTACTACATGTTCAACCCTCTCTAGCGAGAGATCGAAACAAGATGTAGCCATCGCAATTATTTAAGTAAATACGGTATTTGTTTTACTTAAAGATTAAACGGCTATTTCAGATAATTTTTAAATTTCCAAACAAATTCATGAGTATTTAACTTACGTCCTCTACATTCCTCCTTGAGATGATGATTATTAACACATGGTTCTTCACAAGGGTCCAACGTTTTTGCTAGAGGGAGTAAAATTAATATAGAAATTTTAGATAATAATTGACAACGATTCATCAAAAAAATTTCTAAAATTTTTAAAATAAATAAAATATTTTAAATGTGTTTTATATAGACCATCTGAGGGAGTTTTATTTCAGTAGTGATTTGACTTAGATCTGCTCTAAATCCCGACTTTTTTAATGTTATTTTCTTTCAAATTTTAACCCCATTTAAGTGTTTTGAATGGTGTAAGATGAATTCTCTTACAATACTAACATGTATTGTAAGAGAAAATTAACAAGTATTGTAAGAGAAATTTGACATGCGAATGAGATCCGGCACTTGTATGAAAGCCTGCCTCATATAGGATTTTCTGTATGAGAGGAGTCGTTTAAACGGGGTAACCATTTATTATTAAAGTTTAATTATTAGACGTTAAACATTTATAAAAAATAAAATCTGGCATGTCTAGATTTTTATTAATAGCCAAAGCAATTGGGCGGCACTCTTTAATAAATATAAGTGCAATATTGAATACAAAAATATACAAAAAGTGCATCCATAAATAGACATATTCACGTGAATATCACTAAACTGTTGACTTAGAGTCTGTTTTAGTTAAAGTAATAATATTAAATGCTAAACCGGAAACTGCTATGTAGTCTTCTTTCAACAAGAATTTATTTAAAGGCCATGGTAGGACCAGTATTTTTAGCTAAGAGCCGGGTCCAGAGCTAGGAAATCTCATAACCTTGCCGATCGGATCGGTTTAGGAAATTTTAAAATCCGTTCGTCTATTACTTTTATGTACTAGAATATTTTCGTTTTTTGTGTATTTAAGAAATTATTTAATATAAGTATTAATTAACGAAGATGGCGTCTTTTAAGTGCAGCATGAACAAGTTTATTATATGCAGATAAACGTCGACTTGAAGTCGATTGTTCTCCAATGCTTTCTGAATTGGTTTCAGATGCGGCTAAATATTTCAAATTATTTTTATAATAATTCTATTATTATCACCCTTTACAGTTCCTCCTCCATAACCACTACCTCCCTCAGTTTTTGCTTCATAGCCTCCAACTTCTGGCTTTTTTGGTGCCTCAGGAGCACTTTTATTTGGCACGGCAGCACCATAATTATTAGCTGGATGAGTTTCAGGTGGTTGATATGGAGGTGATGGGGATGGAGCTGCTGGAGGAGCGGGCCCTACATCAACCCCTTTTGAACGTTCCGGGCATGGGCAATATTCAGCATCGGCGCCTATTTTAATTAGTTTACTAATTAATAAAGATAATATTCTAGTTTACCAGGCAATCCTTGGGCTCCAGGACTTCCATTTATGCCATCTTTTCCTTTGTCACCGCGTGCACCTGGAGGACCAATTGGTCCTTGGGGACCTTAAATTAATTTGAAATTATGTTTAAATTATTTAGAATTACAAACCAGGAGCGGCATCATCACCTCTATCACCAGTTGGCCCCTCATCTCCAGCCTCACCAGGCGGGCCAGCAGCTCCCTTTGGTCCAGGATCTCCTTTAGCATATCCAACGCCTTAAATATACATCAATAAAAGAAATGGTTAAAAATCTATCACCATCCTCTCCAGGTATGCCTTTCACACCTGGATCGCCAATATCACCAGGAAGACCGATTTCCCCTTCCGGTCCCTCATCACCAGGTTGTCCATCTCGTCCAGGGGCACCAGGAGATCCTTTTGCTCCTTTATCTCCTCTTGGCCCTCTTTTGCCCTTATATCCAGGTAAACCAGTAGGACCAGCAGGACATTTCCCACAGCCAGGGGTTACAGTCTCTCCATAAGCATTTCCAGGATCAGAAGCTACTTGACTGCTTCCTGAAGCACCTGCAGGACCAGGTTCTCCATCCATTCCTTGATAAATTTGAATCCAATAATTTATATAAATAAATTAGTTGTACACTGATCCTATAGAGATACAGTTCCAGTTTCCTAAACCAAAAATATAGAACACTGAAATTGGAATCGCTTAGGAATCGGAACCATAGTATAAGGAACGGTTCTGATTTAATGTCAGATGATGTAACCCCCCCCCCCCCTCCTGGGAGAGGGGGGGGGGGTTCCTACCGACTTTGAGAAATTTCTAATGTAAAAATACGTACCCTACATATTTATGAAATTAAAAATTAATATGCTATCTCACCAGGTTCTCCTGGCTCGCCTCGCACTCCTTTGGGTCCACTCGGGCATTGATTCTTTGGGGGACTAGATTTGACATTAGCATTCTCATCTTAACAATTTTAAAATTTTTAACTACCTAATTTAAGACTAAATAATTATTTTACATTGCCTTCGTTGACGAGCTATAATTTCTGCAGCTCGTTCTTTTCGAGTTAAGACTTTCTGCTCCATTATAGTACTCCACATTTGCGAGCCCTATTTAGTTAAAAATTATTTGAGGTAGGCAAAAAGGAAAAATGTTTAAGACCATGTCTTCGACAATTTGTCTTTTTTGCGACATTTCTTTCTCAAAATTGGCCAAATCCATGAGCCTAAATTATTATAAGGTATTAAATGTTTAGTATTTTTAAAATTTCGGTTATTATTGCGTAAAACTTTGGATATTGTTTGGAATTAAATTTTCTACAGACACCCTTCTTTTAACGCTCTTTTAAAAGTAAATTCGTTGAAAATAAAAAGTTCACTTTTAGTGATGGGCATGGCTCCAGGAGCTAACTCTGGAGAGTTTCAGACACGGAACCAGGTTTTGAAAAAGTTTTGAGGAAGAAGCCAAAGCAAAAATACGCCATACAGCATATGTTCGGACTTGGAATGACATAGGAGTGATATAACGAAACCGAGATTCTTTCAACGAGTTTTTGTTTGAGGACTCGCTTGATTCGATCACTAACGATAACATGCAAGATTCCTTAATTTATATTTTTACTAATTTTCAGAAAGATTACATTAACGGAACACCAAGCATTAAAGTTCCAAATGACACCAATGCAAGTCCAGCTGCAATATTTACAGTTCCTTTTGGCAAACTACTCATTGTTTAAAAATTATTTTGAAATAATGTTGAGAGAGAATTTTAAATGAAAATGCTTAAAATACTGATGTAATATCTTTTATCTTTTATTACTTTAAATTGATGGAACAAACTTAAAAGCTATCAGAAACTGACTTGTACAAAACGTTTCGTTTCATTGTCGAGTTAATTATCCTGTTTTCTCTCGTTTCATTTATTTCTGGAAGATATTTTTTGGAAGTATTCCAGTGGATTTACAGTATTTCCTCTAATTGAGCAGCTGCCGCTCTATTTTTCGATCCCTTCTCAAGGGGCCGCTCTATTGGATACTGCCGTTTAAATAGAAACGCCACTCAATTAGAGGAAATACGGTATATTACCGGTTTTAATTTCCAAATGTTTTGTTTCGTCTTAAAGAATTTAAGTTTTTCACAGGTCTTATCAGAACTAATGGACTAAATAATACATTAAAAATATAATAGTAAAGTAAAAAACATAATGCACATAAGAAATAACTAAAAATAACAAATGAAAAGAAAATTCTCAACAAAAATAATTTGGATAAATAAAAAGCCTGTTCCCACCTTTCCGTCATTTTTGAGTTATATGCTTTGGCGGTGTTTTCTAATTAAGTTTTATGCTTGGGAGTGGCTGTCGCGCAGTTCTGCCCTCAAGGCTATTGTAGAGAGTGCAATTATGAATTGGGCGCTTCCTGATTCTCTCTCTTTTTTCTTAAAAAATCCAGCATTTTTTTACTGAACATTATTAGTTGCAAATTTTTAAAAGAACTAATTTAATTAGAAAATTAATGGAAATAAGTTTTTAAAAAATTTTTTAATAAGAAATTATTTAGATAACTATTAAAATTTATTAATAAATTTATTTGGAGAACAATAGGATTTAATAACAAATATAACTCAACTGAGTCACGTAACCTATAACTTACGAAGAGATGGTCACTTTTTTTCTTCTTGTTATCATTGGATAGAGCATTTTATAGATACATAAACCAAAAAATCAAAATTCCTAACCGATTGTTAAGGGGAAATAGACAGCTTTAGCTGGATTAAAGGGATATCAGTGGATTTGGGAGATATCGGGAATTTCAAAGTTTTTGTGGGATTCAGAGGAATATACATGATTTGCAGTATTATGGTGCTGATGAGGAATTTGGGAGATTAAATAGATTTTGGGGATTAAGTGAGATATCAAGGGATATAGGCGGATTAAGAGGATTTGGAGTTTGTTTCATGATATCGATCTATAAACAATCTATCTTATTCATCGAGTTCCATAATCCCACGATATTTACCCAAATCCTACAATAATCCCACACGTTAATCAAAACCCTTTTATCCTTCTCCATCCAAATCTCTATATCTTTCTAAATCTATCGACATTCGCTTATTTGAACCAAATTGCACAATATCTTTCAAATACACTGATATCCTTTTAATCCAGCAAATCTGTCGATTCCCTTATTAATCTTTGAATTTTCGATATCCTTCATAATCCCCCACACGATAAAATGAAAAATTTTGGCAGTCGTATTTTAGGTATGGGTAGGAATTACAAGTTTCTTTACTGACGGATTGTCCACTGACGGATTTTCCACTGCCGGATTGTCCACTGACGGATTGTCCGGTCACGATAATATTCGGAGCAGTTCAACTGAGTCCGCACGATTGAGTCCTCACGATTGAGTCCGCACGATTGAGTCCCAGCACGATTGATCCCCACGATTGAGTCCGCACGATTGAGTCCCCCTTGTATATACCTCAATTGAGTCCCCGTGTATTTAATTATATTAAAAAGGATTAAGAGGGATATCTGGGGATTTGGAGGGATTAAAGTTAACATCAGGGGACTTATATGCGACATCGAGGGATCAGGCTGGATATCGGTGAATATTAAGGGATATAAGTAGATTTAAGCGATTAAGGGGGATATCGGTGGATATTGTAAATTTGGGGATTAGGAGGGATATCGAGAGATTTTTTGAATGACAGCTCATTAGAATGAGCTGAGTCGAATGACACCAAAATCAACATGGTTGAACAAGTTCTCGCCGAGATATGGGGCTTGAAATGGTCAAATCCATGATGAATTTTTGGGGTGAAAAATTCGAATAAACACAAAATAGCTCATTCGAAAGGACTCGACGAGCTGAGTTGAATGATACCAAAATCAGCTCGATTGGACGATATTGAACAGAATTATGATCAACTGAATCTTCGATGGAAACCTTTTTTGTGCTGCTACGCAGGGTATTTGGGGTTCAGCAGAGGTGCTCAGGTGGTCTGCCCGGCATTTATACTTTAAAAAATAGAAATTTTGAAATAATCCCGCATGCCGAATATGGAAATTTTAAACTTATTAAATCCACGGGGACTCAATTGAGGTATATACAAGGGGGACTCAATCATGCGGACTCAATCGTGGGGACTCAATTGTGCCGGGACTCAATCGTGGGGACTCAATCGTGCGGACTCAATCGTGGGGACTCAATCGTGCGGACTCAGTTGAACTGCTCCGATTTAACAAGCATTTTAGCTCTCATATTTTGATAACTATATAAATTGACAATTACTTATATTATTGTTCGTATTTTCATACTTTGCAAATAAAACGTAAAATCACTATGGTTGTTTCGGTGTTGGGAAGAATCCGAGGAATTGATCAACCTCGAGGAGCATAATGCAAATGTAAATCCCAATGATCAAGCAACTGGTTTGCTTGATTTGTGCAACAGAATGCCAAGTAAATACATATTGTATTATAAAATAAAATAAAAATTAGAAAAATTTAGCACCGAAAATGTAGTTAAATTTAATACTGAAAATGAAATAATAAAAATTACTACAAATATCAATACGATGAAAATACGTAAAAGGGATCTGAAAACGAACTTTGAAAAGATATGATAAAAAATTATACAAAACAAATACCAAATTGATCGGATTTTTTTGGCACGGGCCGTTTTGGCACAAGACACGAAACTGTAACTCAGGTGAAACCCAATTTCGGAAAATTTTTCTCAAATTCTTTAACATACTTGACTACTTCCTCCTGTAATTTCAGATTTTTTCATAAAATATCTTTGAAGTTATATCAGTCGTAAACGAAGAAATTGAGCATTTCCCGGAAAATCACATTTTTGGCCATAATTACTGAAATTTTAGCCTAAAAATTCTAATATTTTTGGTGAACATAGATAAAGGTTAGAGCTATTATTACGAAATTTTTATTTTTCTATAAAAGCAATGGACTATGCCTCCTTTGTCCTCAAATTTTATTTCCCTTCTCCGTCTTTTCTACTCCTCTCATAGAGAAGAATGTTCAAGTCAGGGTGGCCCTATTGCCCTATTTACAGGGCATTTGCCCTATTTTCGACCTTTCCGCCATATTTTTTCTGTTGTGTATGGGCGTCAGCCCTTGAAGTGTTTAGTATAAAAGGATAGCCAATAGTTAGTTCTCGCTCTCAGTTTTAGTTCTTCCTACAACTTCACCTGCTCTGTATTTCTTTGTGCGATAAATATCTTTGTTAGCTCCTCTACGTAAGCGGGGTCATAACAAGTGGCGCGGTCTCCTGTAAAAGAACCAATCGTCAACAGTTCGTCAACTTCAGTGAGTGCTCGTCAACGTAAGCTGTGTGCAGTTCAAAGAAGTTAAAGTGTGGACAAATTGTAGTGTAGTGAAACCTGAGTGAACATGGATGCAAAGGCATTGGAGAAATTGTTGAAGTCGCAGCAAGAGTACTTTGAGAAAATGTTAGTGAGGCTGTTAAAGCCGAGTGAGCTGAACGACACAGAATTATACAGAAAATTGGTTGGGATGATTGGTGAGTTCATTTTCGATTTGACGAGTGGTATGACCTTTGAGTCATGGTTAGGCAGGCATCGATAATATTTTGAGGAGGAGGGTAAAACCCTGCCAGAATCCTCTAAAGTGAGATTGTTATTGAGTAAATTGGGGCCAGAAGAGTATGCCCAGATTGAACGGAAGATGCTGCCAACCAAATTGAGTGAAATGAAGTTTGACGAACTCTGTAGTGAATTAGTGAAAGAGTTTAGTGACCATAGGTCTAAATTGTTGAAAAGGTTCGAGGCCTTGAATGTTAAGTGTAGTGCCCTTCAAGATATTGTTGAGTTTGGGAATTTAGTGAATGCTCAATGTGAGAGCTGAAAAGGCCTTGTCAATTGAAGAATTGAAAATTATTTTTATTTCAGGTTTGCCTAGTGATGCTACCTCAGTGCGACAAGTTGCCATGAAGAGTGTTGAAAGTAAAAGTGAAAGAGGACAGGCAGTGACCTTGAAAGAAATTATTGAAGAGTGTCGGGCATATTTTGCAAATAAAAGTGAAGCGATGTATATCGTCAAGGAGAAAATTAGTGAAGTGAAGAAAGAAGTGCCTGAAATCAACACAGTGCAGAAAGTGAAGTGTTTTGAAAAGAGTATAAGTGAAAATGGAAGTGAGTGCAAACAAAAGTGGTACAAACCAAACGTCAATCATCAGTCCATTCAGAAAAAGTGTAGTCATTTTGGACGTTTTGGTCACTGGCGTATGCATTGTAAGTTTTTGAGTGATAAAGAGTATCAGCCGAAAAGGCAGTGGAGTAATGGTAATAATCATTCAGGTGCTCCATATTGTGCAATTTTGGATATCTTCGATCCATTGCAAAGTGTAGAAAAAAAAGAGTGGATTAAACAAAGAGTGAAGTTTGGAGAATTGAGTGTTGAAATGATTGTTGATACTGCTTCGCAGATCAATGTTGTCACGAAAGAAGTCTGGAATAATATTGGACAGCCACCAATTGAAAAAGTGAATTATAGTGGCATTGGGCTGGGTGACAACAAAGTGGAAATTGAAGGAAAGTTCAGAAGCAAAGTGAGAGTGAAAGACAAAGACGTCTTTATGGAGTTCCATCTAGTGAATAGTGAAGTGTGTATTTTGGGTTTGCCGGGCTTGAAAGAAGTGTCAGTGCAAAGTAAAAAGCCAAAGTACAACAAGTGGAACAAGAAGAAGGCAACCTTCAAGATACAGAAAAATACTTTTACGAACGGAACAAAAGTGAAAGTGAAGAACACCAATAAACGAAGTGGTAAAATTGAGTGGCTCAAAGGTGAAATACTGCGCAAGACGTAAAACACCTGGAAAATCAAAGTGCCAGTACTAAAGAGTATTGTGACCAGGTCGTTTAAAGAAATCCGACGGGATGAGTGGAGTAATAAAAAGAAATTGTTGAATGAAGAGATTCAAAAAATGAATATGAGTGAAGAAAAAGTGTTGAGTGATAGTAGTGTAACTTCATCGAGTGTCAGCAATGTGGACAGCTCAAAGAAGATCAAATCAAAGATGAAGGTCAACGTTGGGAACAAGTCGAAGATGAAAGATGTGGAAGACGATAATAATATGGAGATGTAGATGAGCCACATATAAATATAAATGTGATAATATTATTGTTGTATTTTTTTTGTAATGTTGTATGTATTTTTTGTTCCCATTGTCCTTATTCCCCCAAAATTTTGTATGTATTTTGTTGTTTGTTGTTTGGCTGAAAAGTGTTGAGTATATTGTAAAGCTTCGGCTTTAAGTGAAGCCGAACCTTTTTTTCAAGGGGGGAGGTGTTGTGTATGGGCGTCAGCCCTTGAAGTGTTTAGTATAAAAGGATAGCCAATAGTTAGTTCTCGCTCTCAGTTTTAGTTCTTCCTACAACTTCACCTGCTCTGTATTTCTTTGTGCGATAAATATCTTTGTT